CTTTCCTGGACCTCTCTTCCACGTCGTTTATCTTCCTTTTTTCCCCCGCCAGACAGAACCTGAATGGAGACTTTATGAGATCATCAGTAAAGGCAGAAGAATGCGAGCAAATTTTCCATCGAGATCGCCATCGGCCACAAGTCCTTTCTCGAAGAGATTAACGAACCAATTAAAAGCCATCTCGTCTTTCCCTAAGGATCAATAAGTTTATTTGAACCGAACAGGAAAGAGCTTAGCTTCCTTTTCTCAGCCCGTCTGATTCCGTCTTACTCTTACAGGTTCCTTTCCAACGGGGATAGCAATTAAAATCAAAATCAGCAGCGTAAATTCAATCTATTAATCGGTAGGATTAGAAGGAAGGCAGTTTGTGGGACGTTTCCAGAAGCTTCCGTCTCCGTCAAAAGGCAATGATGTCACGATGCATCGAAATGCTATTTTTATGCAATTTGGGGAAAAAATGAAGAAGTTGGGAATGCCGTCGTCGTCAAACCATTTAATGAGTGTGCAAACAGTTTTGGAAATATACATATTCATACATATACATATACATATGTATCATCTTATTTCATATTCATATATATCATATCATAGTGATCCATGCTTAGGTCTTACTTTCCGCCGGTTCTCAAGCGATCCAAAATTAATCATGCGCAAAAAGTGAAAAATGCGGTTGGATCGACGAGGAACATCCGAATAGAAGGAGCTGGAAGGAATGCGTTTTTAATGGGCGGGAAAAAAAGGGGGGATGATCGGTGCCGGCCTGCTTCGGTGTCCCCGGAATTCCCATTTGAGATTCGTCTGAGTGAATTTCCTATGCGTAGGCAGGGTTTCTGGGGCGTCGAATGCGATCATGCAGGGAAAATACTATTTGATGACGGAAATCCCGCGTAGGTAGCTGCGCAGCTCGTCGTCGGCCCACTAACCGCAAAGTGCTTTTCTTGGCATCGGTTGTCGATGCCACGATTGCGGACGTCGTAGAAAGCATTCCGGTTTACATCTGGAATTGTAATCTCGCGATTCGCTTCTGACTGTTGTATTCTGACTGTTTGATTTCGCCTTCGACGTTGAGAGAGTTCCGCCTCCGCAAGTCTCCCCAAGAGAAAGCGTTTGCGAACGGTTTCGCTCCTGAAGACTCTGAATCGCAAAGCGAGTGACGTCCGGGTGATCGCTCGCTTCGCTCTCATAGCGGCAAGCGGGAAAGGGAGATCCGAAAGGATGGCTCTCGACGTTTCGGCACGGAGGGAGGGCGGGGTCTAAAGGGCGTCACGTGACCGAAAGGAGCGATGCGATTGGTGGATCCTCGTCAATGTGAGGACTCCAATGGTCATTTTAAATATATTCTTAATCGCGCTGTAGCTAAGCACAATCCACAATGGCCGCGTTCGCGATGCACGTCGGCTCGGTCGACGTCGCCAGTTCCCCCCAAGCTCCTTCTAGGCATCCTGACCCTGGTGGCGCTTGGCGGCTGGCTGGGATCGCGAGTCACGCCGCGAGGACATTTAGATCTCAAACGTACCCAATACTCTCGCTGCAACCGTTTCAAAATATTGTAACACGAGTTCTCTATCGAGTCGAGGAAAACTTGCATCAGTGAATCATCTCCATATCAACCCACGATGCCACGATGAGGATATACCCATCTCTGAAGCTGCATGCTTACGGGGCTTGCATATTTAATATCGTTCTTCGAGGATGAAGTATCGGTACTGTAATGAGATTAGAAAGTGGATGAGCATATGAGGTCTCATCCCTGTGCAGCTCATCAAGAAGGCAATGTAACGAGATTCACGCGATCTGATAAGGTAACTGGAGCCAGAGACGTGGCCAGAGAGAGAGGGGGGCTCCACTTCACCTTTTCAACATAATCACTCAACCTAATTAATTCCTCAATTAACAATTAACTCGTTGTTCCACCGCATTGGTTTCAATCCGCATTGCTTCCATTGCTTCACTGTTTTTAGTGAAGCAATTTTTTGTTTTTATTTTAATTTTTTTTTCTTCTGGAGTGGCTTTCACCCACTGGCTTATGACTGATGCAAGGTCAGTCCCTGACCTAATGTCTCTTTCCGCGCAATAAATTCTGTATTTTTGCGAGGAGATGGAATAATGTCTGAGGTTTGAGGGGTAAAATTTTCAGAGGCCACAGGGTGCTTAGGTGGTGGTCAGGAACGTCATTTGGTAATGAAAGGGGGAGGGGGAAGCAATTAAACTAGAAATAAAAGTTAAGCGAGAAAGTTTAGCTCCTGCTTCCTGTTGCACAGTAATACAGTATTTAATTGGCGGCAAGAAGAATATTTAATTAGATGAAATGACACCCATGATTACACTCAGCGGTAGGAAATCACTCGAATGAAAGTTCAAGAGGCATAAGGCAGACTCGCAGAAGTTCTCTGGTTTATGATACAAAACAAACTGTTTGAATGCCCACGAAACCAATGGCATTTTTTACCGTGACGGCGAGTAGCGACGAACTTATTTTTCGACTTCATCAATTATTTCCTTCGCATCCTCTCTTTGGGCTGCCGACAACGGCACGTCGCTCGGCCTCTCGTTCCCTCGGCGAGGCCTAAGTCATTTTTTACTCTCTTCATGGTGGAAAAGAGTCTCTCGGTTCGAGCAGTTGTCACAGGCCGAAAACGAGGTCAATTAGCTTCAATGTCATTTAGTTCACGCAGTTGGAAGTTTCTCGAGCGCATCTCTGAGCTCGTGAAGGCTTGCTGGCTTTGGGCTCTCCAGATGCAACCGCATCGGCGACCGTGGATCAAAGAGAAATGCTTCCTAAAATGTCGCTGTTCCGTTCAACCGTCTGGCTATCTCTGCGACAAACGAATCCAACGTTTTGTACGAGACAGTCAAAATTGGCCATAGGGTTGCCACAGTAATTCAGGGAGAGATTAAGTTCCCTGACGAGTTATCCAACTAACAAATATAAATATACGCAATAATGCCAGTAATATTTAACGCAAAAAATTTTTAAAATAGCCATAATAACCACGCCGCAAGAGAGTTCTAAAGGCTGACTTTCAGGCTAATATATTACAGGGAATAAAGGAGGTTATTAAAAAAATCGCTTCGAGACACGAAGGGGGGGCAACTGCCCCCCTTCGTGTCTCGAAGCGATTTTTGCCCCCCCCCCCCCCCCCCCCCCCC